AATAAAAAGAATATAGCCATCTTCTGTAATTCAAAAAGAATGGAACAGAAAAGAATAGAATAAGAAAATAAAGTAAAAAAAAAAAATAGAATAGAAAATAAAGGAACAGAATAGAATAAAAAGAACAGGGAAAGAATATAGCCGTCTTTCGAAATTGAAATTTGGAAAAGAATAGAACCAGCTATTCTTCACATTGACTTTGTGAATCAATTCGATATTTTCTGTTCAAAATCAATTTGATTCGATTCGGATACGTCAAATTCAATGGAGAAAAAAATTGAATCTGGTCAAAAACTAATAAATGAAGCTAAATGAAAGTAAACTAAACAAATTTGGTTACCAATGCAATGAAATGAAACCGATCCGAAGGTTTCCTCCTGCACATGTCTAGGGGTAACCCCATTTTGGTTCAGCACTACATCTCTCCGTGTGTGGTCTCTCTGTCCCATGACCCAACTCTTCCTCCTCTCTGGACTAAAAACCCGTCTTTTAAATATCCCAGCTACGGGGCGCTCCACAGGCCAAACAGCAGATACAACCTCAACCAATTAACCTCTACATCACCAAATGGTGGTTTTAAATACAAGACACAAATAATACGGTTGGCAGATGCCTACAAACATATGTCCTCTCTGTCCGAAACGTGCCCCTTACCGTCCTCCAAGGAATGGCCAACGAATGGTCCAACATAGGAGGAAAAGTCGGCAGATGCCTACAAACATATGTCCTCTCTGTCCGAAACGTGCCCCTCACCGTCCTCCAAGGAATGGCCAACGAATGGTCCAACATACAGTAGGAGGAAAAGTCGGCAGATGCCTACAAACATATGTCCTCTCTGTCCGAAACGTGCCCCTCACCGTCCTCCAAGGAATGGCCAACGAATGGTCCAACATAGGAGGAAAAGTCGGCAGATGCCTACAAACATATGTCCTCTCTGTCCGAAACGTGCCCCTCACCGTCCTCCAAGGAATGGCCAACGAATGGTCCAACATAGGAGGAAAAGTCGGCAGATGCCTACAAACATATGTCCTCTCTGTCCGAAACGTGCCCCTCACCGTCCTCCAAGGAATGGCCAACGAATGGTCCAACATAGGAGGAAAAGTCGGCAGATGCCTACAAACATATGTCCTCTCTGTCCGAAACGTGCCCCTCACCGTCCTCCAAGGAATGGCCAACGAATGGTCCAACACAGGAGGAAAAGTCGGCAGATGCCTACAAACATATGTCCTCTCTGTCCGAAACGTGCCCCTCACCGTCCTCCAAGGAATGGCCAACGAATGGTCCAACATAGGAGGAAAAGTCGGCAGATGCCTACAAACATATGTCCTCTCTGTCCGAAACGTGCCCTTCACCGTCCTCCAAGGAATGGCCAACGAATGGTCCAACATAGGAGGAAAAGTCGGCAGATGCCTACAAACATATGTCCTCTCTGTCCGAAACGTGCCCCTCACCGTCCTCCAAGGAATGGCCAACGAATGGTCAACATAGGAGGAAAAGTCGGCAGATGCCTACAAACATATGTCCTCTCTGTCCGAAACGTGCCCCTCACCGTCCTCCAAGGAATGGCCATCGAATGGTCCAACACAGGAGGAAAAGTCGGCAGATGCCTACAAACATATGTCCTCTCTGTCCGAAACGTGCCCCTCACCGTCCTCCAAGGAATGGCCAACGAATGGTCCAACATAGGAGGAAAAGTCGGCAGATGCCTACAAACATATGTCCTCTCTGTCCGAAACGTGCCCCTCACCGTCCTCCAAGGAATGGCCAACGAATGGTCCAACATAGGAGGAAAAGTCGGCAGATGCCTACAAACATATGTCCTCTCTGTCCGAAACGTGCCCCTCACCGTCCTCCAAGGAATGGCCAACGAATGGTCCAACATAGGAGGAAAAGTCGGCAGATGCCTACAAACATATGTCCTCTCTGTCCGAAACGTGCCCCTCACCGTCCTCCAAGGAATGGCCAACGAATGGTCCAACATAGGAGGAAAAGTCGGCAGATGCCTACAAACATATGTCCTCTCTGTCCGAAACGTGCCCCTCACCGTCCTCCAAGGAATGGCCAACGAATGGTCCAACACAGGAGGAAAAGTCGGCAGATGCCTACAAACATATGTCCTCTCTGTCCGAAACGTGCCCCTCACCGTCCTCCAAGGAATGGCCAACGAATGGTCCAACATAGGAGGAAAAGTCGGCAGATGCCTACAAACATATGTCCTCTCTGTCCGAAACGTGCCCTTCACCGTCCTCCAAGGAATGGCCAACGAATGGTCCAACATAGGAGGAAAAGTCGGCAGATGCCTACAAACATATGTCCTCTCTGTCCGAAACGTGCCCCTCACCGTCCTCCAAGGAATGGCCAACGAATGGTCCAACATAGGAGGAAAAGTCGGCAGATGCCTACAAACATATGTCCTCTCTGTCCGAAACGTGCCCCTCACCGTCCTCCAAGGAATGGCCAACGAATGGTCCAACACAGGAGGAAAAGTCGGCAGATGCCTACAAACATATGTCCTCTCTGTCCGAAACGTGCCCCTCACCGTCCTCCAAGGAATGGCCAACGAATGGTCCAACATAGGAGGAAAAGTTGGCAGATGCCTACAAACATATGTCCTCTCTGTCCGAAACGTGCCCCTCACCGTCCTCCAAGGAAATGGCCAACGAATGGTCCAACACAGGAGGAAAAAGTCGGCAGATGCCTACAAACATATGTCCTCTCTGTCCGAAACGTGCCCCTCACCGTCCTCCAAGGAATGGCCAACGAATGGTCGAACATAGGAGGAAAAGTCCTACAGGTCCGCGGTCTTCCTATACCTTTGAGGTGTACACTTTGGACAGAGGACAACTGGTGCTCAATCGGTTTGAAAGAGACCATCTACATCCAACCGAAACAACCATCCCTGCACAAGGGGGGGGCCCTTCAACACCGCCTGTCTGCCACCTATAATGCTGATTTAACATCTCCGCCCTAGAAACAACTGACACCTTTAGCCATGAAATAGAAGGAAGAACATTTATGAAGCTTTCCTGACATCTGCTCTAAGCTGTGGAATCCAGTAATGAATGAGAAATATGCTGATTCCGGGAACTGAATCATTTCCTCTTCTGCAAAACTGGCAACAGTTTCTCGATCGATACGATTTGCTTAATTTTTTTTTTTTTAACTGAAGGCTCTAAATTTGAAGGACCTTTATTCCCATCCTTATGTAAATTCATTTGCACAGTATACTGTTACTGTTGCGGCAGTTAGTGTGGGGGGGTACACACAGCTGCAGCACTTTGATGACCATCACCAAAGGGCCGGATGTAAGAACCAGGAAGAGACATCTGGCCCCCTGATGATGTCTACAGGCATATGGACGGTACCCTGAGACCCACTGAGATGTCAGTATTCCAGGAAGCTGCGGTCAAGTGGGACGTCATTCTTGCCAAGCCGAGAGTCCTGGAAGTCTCACCTTCCTACAACAATTGGTAGTCAACTTCCTTTATACCAACTGACATATATGAACAGAGGCTGCTGGGCCAAATATGATCACTTTTGGTCTGCATTCCAATTGACTTCTCACTCCCCCCCCTCCCCAACCTTCTTTTTTTTATGTGCCCTTGAAGGCTTTTCTGTTATTTATTTATTACAGGTACTTTTATAGCACCATCAATTTATAGCCTGCCCTCAAGGAGCCCTACAATCTAAGGTCCCTAACTCACATCCATATACTAGGGCCAATCATTAGACAGAACTTTGATGACATGTCACCAAGGGCTGGATGTAAGAACCCAGGGAGAGACAGCCGGCCCCTGATGATGTCTACAGGCATATGGACGGTACCCTGAGACTCACTGAGATGTCAGTATTCCAGGAAGCTGCGGTCAAGTGGACGTCATTCTGCCAAGCCGAGAGTCCTGGAAGTCCCACCTTCCTACAACAATTGGTAGTCAACTTCCTTTATACCAACTGACATATATGAACAGAGGCTGCTGGGCCAAATATAATCACATTCAGTCTGCATTCCAATTGACTTTCTCACCCCTCCCCCCAAACTTCCTCTTTTATGTGCCTTGAAGGGCTTTTCTGTTATTACAGGTGTTTTTATAGCACCATCAATTTACAGCCCTGCCCTCAAGGAGCCTACAATCTAAGGTCCTAACTCACATCCATATACTAGGGCCAATTTTTAGACAGGATCCAATTAGCCTACCAGCATGTCTTAGGGAGTGTGGGAGGAAACCGAAGTACCTGGAGAAAAACCCATGTAGCCACAGGAGATGAACATGCAAACACCAGGCAGGTGGTGTCGTGGTTGGATTTGAACCTTAGTGACCCTAGTGCTGCCAGGGCAAAAGTGCACACCACTTAACCACTTGCCTACCAGGCACTTATACCCCCTTCCTTACCAGGCCAATTTTCAGCTTTCAGCGCTGCCGCACTTTGATTGACAATTGCGCGGTCATGCAACATTGTACCCATATGAAATTTTGATCATTTTTTTCTCACAAATAGAGCTTTCTTTTGGTGGTATTTAATCGCCACTGGGCGCTTTACTTTTTGCGCTATAAATTAAAAAATGTGCAAAAATTTGAAAAAAAAAAAAAAGTTTATTTGTTTCTTTTATAAAATTTTTCAAACAGGTATTTTTTCTCTCCTTCACTGATTTGCGTTGATGAGGCGGCACTGATGGGCACTGATAGGCGGCACTGATGGGCACTGATAGGCAGCACTAAAGGGCACTGATAGGCAGTACTAATGAGGTGGCACGGATAGGCGGCACTGATAGACAGCACTAATTAGGGTCACGGATAGGCGGCACTGATATGCAGCACTGATAGGCGGCACTGATAGGTGACACTGATGATGGGTACTGATAGACGGCACATGACTGGATCACTTCTGGGCACTGACTGGCGGCACTGACTGGCACAACCCCTGGGCACTGACTGGTGGCACTGACTGGCAGCACTGCTGGGCTGCACTGGTGGGTGGCACTGGTGGGCAGCACTGGTGGGTGGGCACAGGTGGGTGGCACTGGTGGGCACAGGTGGGTGGCACTGGTGGGCACAGGTGGGGGGGCACAGTGTGGGTGGCACTGCTGGGCACATGTAGGTGGCACTTCTGGGCACACAGGTAGGTGGCACTGCAGAGTGGCACAGGTGGGTGCACTGCTGGGCACAGGTGGGGGCACTGCTGGGCACAGGTGGGGGCACTGCTGGGAACGGGTGGGCGGGGCTAGTGGGCGCACTGCTGGGCGGAACTTGCGGGATGTCACTTCTGGCACCGATCATCAGGGCACTGATCATCAGTGCCCTGATGATCGGTGCCGATCCCCGCTGACAACTGCCGGTTCTCGCGCAGTACTTTTTCCTCACGATCTGAACAGCGTGAGGAAAGTGCAGCCGAGAACCGGCACTTGCATTTCCCTGTGATCAGCGTGTCATTGGACACCGCTGATCACGTGGTAAAAGGCCGGTGGGATTGGCCTTTCACCACATCACGTGATCAGCTGTGTCCGTAGGACACAGCGATCATGGAGATCGCCGGGGTGCGCGCCCCCTGGGGCGCGCAGGAGTGCGCGTGGGTTCTGGGGAGGACGTCATATGACGTTCCACTCAGAACTAGCCGCTTTTTGCCGCGGTGAAGCCGTCATTCGGACTATGCGCGGTCGGCAAGAAAGTTAATCACTGCTGCCCATAGTTAAGACAGTATACACTATAGCACTTTTTTTATTTCCTGATTTTATCACTGAAATGTACGCTCTGTGAGGTTCATACGGATTATACTTCTTTGCACATTGTATGGTACTTGAACTATGATACTTGATAAAAAATAGGCCCAGGCATTTTAGACTGAGCAGCCCATTCTTGAAAACAAATAATGACAACTAATGACAACTACCGGTTCCTCAATGGTCTTTTAGTTATACTTAGGCTGCTCCAATCACAGCTAACAGTCTGAATACCAGGACCCGACATTGGGTAACAGGCTCCTCCAATAACAGCCAGAAGTCTGAATACTAGGGACCCAACACTGGGAAAGAGGCTCCACCAATTACGGAAGCCCTATAAATACTAGGGGCCCAAAGGCAGACAAAATTCTCCATCAATCACAGCAAGCCTTGTGACTACCAGGGACCCAACATTAGATAACAGGCTCCTCCCATAACAGCCAGAAGTCTGAATACTATGGACCCAACACTGGAAAAGAGGCTCCACCAATTACAGCAAGCTCTATAAATACTAGGGGCCAAAAGGTAGACAAAATGCTCCACCATCATCACAGCAAGCTTTATGACTACCAGGGACCCAATATTAGGTAACAGGCCCCTCCAATAACAGCCAGAAGTCTGAATACTAGGGACCCAACACTGGAAAAGAGGCTCCACCAATTACAGCAAGCCTTATAAATACTAGGGGCCCAAAGGCAGACAAAATGCACCACCAATCACAGCAAGCCTTATGACTATCAGGGACCCAACATTAGGTAAAAGGCCCCTACAATACCAGCCAGAAGTCTGAATACTAAGGACCCAACACTGGAAAAGAGGCACCAACAATTACGGCAAGCCCTATAAATACTAGGGGCCCAAAGGTAGACAAAATGCTCCACCAATCACAGCAAGCCATAAGACTACAACAGACCCAACATTAGGTAACAGGCTCCTTCAATAACAGTCAGAAGTCTGAATACTAGGGACCCAACACTGGAAAAGAGGCTCCACCAATTACGGCAAGCCCTATAAATACTAGGGGCCCAAAGGTAGACAAAATGCTCCACCAATCACAACAAGCCATATGACTATCAGGGACCCAACATTAGGTAACAGGCTCCTCCAATAACAGTCAGAAGTCTGAATACTAGGGACCCAACACTGGAAAAGAGGCTCCACCAATTACGGCAAGCCCTATAAATACTAGGGGCCCAAAGGTAGACAAAATGCTCCACCAATCACAGCTAACCATATGACTATCAGGGACCCAACATTAGGTAACAGGCTCCTCCAATAACAGCCAGAAGTCTGAATACTAGGGGCCCAATAAATACTAGAAAGCCCTATAAATACTAGGAGCCCAAAGGCAGACAAAATGTTCCACCAATCACAGCAAGCCAAATGACTATCAGGGACCCAAAATTAGGTAATAGGCTCCTCCAATAACAGCCAGAAGTGTGAATACTAGGGACCCAACACTGGAAAAGAGGCTCCACCAATTACGGAAAGCTCTATAAATACTACGGGCCCAAAGGCAGACAAAATTCTCCACCAATCACAGCAAGCCTTATGACTACCAGGGACCCAACATTAGGTAAGAGGCTCCTCCTATAACAGCCAGAAGTATAAATACTAGGGACCCAACACTGAAAAAGAGGCTCCACCAATTACAGCAAGCTCTATAAATACTAGGGGCCCAAAGGTAGACAAAATTCTTCATCAATCACAGCAAGCCTTATGACTACCAGGGACCCAATATTAGGTAACAGGCTTCTCCCATAACAGCCAGAAGTCTGAATACTAGGGACCCAACACTGGAAAAGATGCTCCAGCAATTACGGCAAGCCCTATAATTACTAGGGGCCCAAAGGCAGACAAAATTCTCCACCAATCACAGCAAGCTTTATGACTACCAAGGACCCAACATTAGGTAACAGGCTCCTCCATTAACAGCCAGAAGTCTGAATACTAGGGACCCAACACTGGAAAAGAGGCTCCACCAATTACAGCAAGCTCTATAAATACTAGGGGCCAAAAGGTAGACAAAATGCTCCACCAATCACAGCAAGCCTTATGACTATCAGGGACCCATCATTAGGTAATAGGCCCTTCAATAACAGCCAAAAGTCTGAATACTAGGGACCCAACACTGGAAAAAGGCACCAACAATTGATGGCAAGCCCTATAAATACTAGGGGCCCAAAGGTAGACAAAATGCTCCACCAATCACAACACGCCTTATGACTATCAGGGACCCAACATTAGGTAACAGGCTCCTCCAATAACTGCCAGAAGTCTAAATACTAGGGGCCCAACACTGGAAAAGAGGATCCACCAATTATGGCAAGCCCTATAAATACTAGGGGCCCAATGGCAGATAAAATGCTCCACCAATCATCAGCTCTTTTTTAGAACATGTGGCCCGGCAGCTCCCAGCCCACCGGTCGAATGCCCATTTTGCCCCATCGGCCAGTTCAGGCCTGGCTGTATTGTATTTTTTAAATCTGTCAAATAAAGTTTTTTTTTTACGGTTAAAAAAAATAGAATCCTGAAAGCGTTGGGAGATGCTCCAAAAAAAGCTATACAGTAAGAAAAAACAAAAAAATGTCCAATTTGATGGTAGAGAGGGTTGCAATGATGTTAAGTTGGTTGGTTGTGTAAGAAAAGCCCAGTACATATTGGAACTAGAGGACTGTTGCATGGTCATGCGCATGCTCATAATTCCAAGCAAAGGCCTTCTGCATTGCCAAACAGCCTATTTAAGCTGGACTATGACATGAACAGATTGCTGGGCGGTCTTCAGCTAGTTCCTGCTTTACCTATGCCCTCACCTGTTATATTTTTTCCTTTCCATACATGACCTGGCTTGCTCCTGACCTGCCAATGGATTCCTGCCTGCTTTTTGTGACCTCGGCTTGTACCCTGACTATTCTCCTGTCCTACGCTTCTGTACCTCGCTGCCCAACTGTGTATCAGTCCTGGCTTGTATACGGACTCTGTCTTCCTACTGTTCTTGTACCTCGCTGCCTGGCTGTGTATAGATCCCAGCTTGTATCCTGACTCTGCCTACTGTTCCTGTACCTCGCTGCCCGGCTGTGTATAGATCCCTGGCTTGTATCTGGACTCTGCCTCTGCCTACTGTTCCTGTACCTCGCTGCCTGGCTGTCTATCAATCTTGGCTTGTATCCGGACTCTGCCTCTGCCTACTGTTCCTGTACCTCGCTGCTTGGCTGTGTATAGATCCCAACTTGTATCCGGACTCTGCCTCTGCCTACTGTTCCTGTACCTCGCTGCTTGGCTGTGTATAGATCCCAACTTGTATCCGGACTCTGCCTCTGCCTACTGTTCCTGTACCTCGCTGCTTGGCTGTGTATAGATCCCAACTTGTATCCTGACTCTGCCTACTGTTCCTGTACCTCGCTGCCTAGCTGTGTATAGATCCCAACTTAAAACCTGACTCTGCCTCTGTCTACTGTTCCTGTACCTCGTTGCCTGGCTGTCTATCAATCCTGGCTTGTATCCTAACTCTGCCTCTGCCTACTGTTCCTGTACCTCGCTGCCCGGCTGTGTATAGATCCCGGCTTGTATCCTGACTCTGCCTCTACCTACTGTTCCTGTACCTCACTGCCCGGCTGTGTATAGATCCCGGCTTGTATCCTGACTCTGCCTCTACCTACTGTTCCTGTACCTCTCTCCCTGGCCATATATAGATCCCAGCTTGTATCCTTACTCTGCCTACTGTTCCTATACCTCGCTGCCCGGCTGTGTATAGATCCCCGCTTGTATCCTGCCTCTGCCTCCTGTTCCTGTACCTTGCTGCCTAGCTGTGTATAGATCCCCGCTTGTATCCTGACTCTGCCTACTGTTCCTGTACCTCGCTGCCTGGCTGTGTATAGATCCCAACTTAAAACCAGACTCTGCCTCTGTCTACTGTTCCTGTACCTCGTTGCCTGGCTGTCTATCAATCCTGGCTTGTATCCTAACTCTGCCTCTGCCTACTGTTCCTGTACCTCGCTGCCCGGCTGTGTATAGATCCCGGCTTGTATCCTGACTCTGCCTCTGCCTATTATTCCTGTACCTAGCTGCCCAGCTGTGTATAGATCCCAACTTGTATCCGGACTCTGCCTCTCCCTACTGTTCCTGTACCTCACTGCCCAGCTGTGTGTAGATCCCAACTTAAAACTGGACTCTGCCTCTGCGTACTGTTCCTGTACCTCACTGCCTGGCTGTCTATCAATCCCGGCTTGTATCCGGACTCTGCTTCTGCCTACTGTTCCTGTACCTCGCTGCTTGGCTGCGTATAGATCCCAGCTTGTATCCTGCCTCTGCCTCTGCCTACTGTTCCTGTACCTCACTCCCTGGCCGTATATAGATCCCAGCTTGTATCCTGAATCTGCCTCTGCCTATTATTCCTGTACCTCGCTGCCCAGCTGTGTATAGATCCCAACTTGTATCCGGACTTTGCCTCTGCCTACTGTTCCTGTACCTCGCTGCTTGGCTGTGTATAGATCCCAGCTTGTATCCGGACTCTGCCTCTACCTACTGTTCCTGTACCTCGCTGCTTGGCTGCTTATAGATCCCCGCTTGTATCCTGACTCTCCCTCCTGTTCCTGTACCTCACTGTCTAGCTGTGTATAGATCCCGGACTTGTATCCTAACTCTGCCTCTGCCTATTATTCCTGTACCTCACTGCCCAGCTGTGTATAG